GATTGGAATTATCGATTGACATGCAGGTCTTAGGCCTTTATGGTTGTAATTTGCGCTTCTTAATTACCTACCGTACTCTTTTTGGAAGCATCAGAGCCACGATTAGGCCCCGCCCCTCCTCTTTGAAGGGCGAAATCGGGCCGAGGAGCCATGTAGCACTACTTTCGAATGCGATTGATCATACTTCAGAGATCGGTCTAAACTCAGTGGAATACTTTTTAACGACTGTGGTAATCATGGGTTAGAGTTTCAGTGTACGGTGGTAGTACTGTAGTCGTATTTGACGCTTTATCCCAAAAGGACCACGAAGACTGACTTCACACGTAATGTGTAAAAAAGGAGATGAATGATGAAAGAATCAAACGACAGATTGATCGAAAGTGAGAGAATGAAAGGATAATTGTGAATGAGAGGAACGAATGAATACTGAGTGATCCAGTGAACAAATTATTGAATGAGAGAATGGGTAAATGATTGCTTGTTTGTATTTGGATAAATTACAAAAAAAAAGAAAATAAGTAAGTTAATAGAATTCAGTAAACAGAAATGAATGCATGAATACATCAATAAATAAAGAAATATTTATTAGTGAAATGGTGAATCTAATCGAATGATTGAAATGGATGAATTAACTGATACATTTATTAATTTGATTAAAAATCTGAAAATGTATTTTCAGGTTCTGATTGCTTGATTGAACGCTGCAACGAATGCTTGATCAATTCAATTATTCGATTACGAGCTGTTAAATGAATGAATGAATAACCAAACAAGCATTCATCGCAGCAAAAAGCATAATTATTCGAAATTTTGAAACAATTATGATTTGTGTACTGCATGATCTCTTTGCAATAGTTCAGCATCAAAAAACCTGGATAAATTTACGTAGAGTATGTTGTCTGTGTGTGGCAATGGCACTCTTTGCGTTGCCATTAAGTACGGCGCCTCCCGGTGCCAACCTCCTGAGCCACGTATACACACATGCAAATGGTTTCTGTTAGTTAAACATTGTAGCGAATAGGTTCGAGCATGCGAAAGAGCACGCTTAGAGCGGAGATCATAGAGTATGAGTATGATTTGTGCAAGATTGCGACATGGAGTTCAGCGACTAGCTCGTCCGCATAGTCGAATGCCAATGAGTTCAATCCACAGGGTAATAATAAGAAGATTTCTAGGAGCTGGAAGGAGGACGATTTTCAGTTTTTTGAGGTTTGCACGGTCCTTATTACTTTACCCATGTGCTAGGACTTACTGTGGTTTTCAGTAGATTGAGTTATTGACTTAAAACAGAATTACGGTAGTTCGACTTTTTGTAAGACTCGGATAATTGACGCACTGTTGACTATGTAGCACTACATAGAAAGTGCTTTAAAATCAAGGTTACGGTAGAATGGTCAGCCAATCACATACCTTAAATGTCTTTTTAGTAATTTGACCACCACAAGCTCCATCTCTCCTCAATTTCAGAAAAATCTCGAATTTTTCCATTGCGTAGGCCACACATCGTAGATCAAGGGGTTTTCCTCAAAACACCTTTCGCTTCTCCTCAATCTCGGATGTCTTTTCAGATGTTTGCCGACGAGTTGTAGTTTGTGTGTTGCTGTCGGTCGTCTACTGTTTGTATAGCTCAAAAATCGCTACACAATTCACACACGGGACAATTGTTGACTTTTAGGCTACATTGCGCTACTAGACGCTTAGCGGTCTTCAAGTATAGTCATCATTTCCAAAGATCATTCGAAATTTTCTTTAATTAATTGGAAGCAAAAAAAACAATCTGTTGGGAAGCAGAATTAATATAGCAGTTCAGTTAATCAGATCTTCGCTCAACAAATGCTTTATCAAATGTTTTTGCTCGCAGATAACTCAAAAGCGCAAAAAGAGCTAGAGTTTGTTCAATAATCCATAGTGTTATACCACTTAAGAAAACTCTCATACTTGAATACAGCATATAGGTTGTAGCTTTTTCAAGGCAAGTAAGTTAATTTTTAGAACAAAATTTCAGCTTTATAGCAATGAAATATATAATTTTTTTAAAAATTTGAATTGATTTCAAAGTTTGGTAGTTTGTCGTTAATGCACATCAAGATTGTACTCCTAGACGAGTTATAGCAACTAGTATTGCGCACTTTTTATCAATTAGATCTGAGCGTCTTTTGTGTTTAGTTTCCATTTATGGTTACGCCACAACATAACACGTAATAACGACATACATCCTTCCTTCTCCACAAACTCAAGAATTGCTGTTTTATCGATTATATAAACAACTTGAACTTTTTTAGATTCTAATGGAGAACTCGCAATAGCCCAAAAAATA